AATGACTGCTGAATAACTGCTGAATGACAGACAGAAAACTGCTGAATGACTGCTGAAAGCTGCTGAATGACTGGTGAAATCTGCTAGATGACAGCTAAATTGTGCTGAATGACTGCGGAAAGCTGAAATCTGCTGAATAACTGCTGAAAGCTGGAATCTGCTGAAAGCTGCTGAATGACAGCCAAATGAGTGGTGAAAGCTGATATCGAATGACTGCTAAAATCTTCAGAAAGTTGCTGAAGAAGCTGTAACTTAGTTCAGCTAAAAGAAACAGAACACTAGCTAAAAGCTAACAACAGCCGAACTGGCAGGGGTTTGTGTTATTCAAACTTGAGCTGATGTGTTTGGTAAATGTTCAGCTGCTTTCTTTAGTGACATCACTCCTGCAGACACAGCGTCTCACAGCTGAATACTTTGGAGGTAAAATGTCCCGTCCCTCGGCACCGCCTGTCCTCTCACTGGTTCTTGTTTCACTTTCTGAAAGTTGGTGATTGTTTGAACAAAGAGTTGAATATAAAATATTACTTAACATAAAATTTAAAATAATTATAATTTAAATTCCAGCAGTTTTCAGCTCCAGTTTAATTCACAGCTGAAGTTCAGCTGTCTTCTGTTTGTGTCTGCTGCAGAGGGTGGAGGACACGGTGGACAAGCTGGAGGCTGAGCTGGAGGCCCTGCTGGACACCATGGAAGCACCACAGTGGCGCTCTCTGCTGGACGCAGCTGGAGAAACAAAAGTGGACATCCTGCAGGACCCGGGTCAGAAGGACCAGTCCTGAATCAGACCTCCAGAGTCCAGCAGACCCGTTTCAGCATTTGGCAGATCGTGGTCCACAGAGATGTGCAAAAGTCTTAAACCAGCTCCCATGTTTTCATGTTTTGCCTGACAAATAAGATTTAATAAAACATGACGACATTCTGTCTCAGATTATTGGGCTTTAGTTTAAAACGCTTTAAAAACAAACATATGAGCAGGTTGTAAACAAACAAACAAGAAGGTCGCAAAGATTCAAAGAAAAAGTGGAAAGCCCCTCAGAAAGCTGGACATCTAAGAACTTTTACTTCTCTGAAGCAAAAGTTTGAATAAACTGAGAATGACACAAAACTTTTGCACAGTCTGTGTTCTCTGGTTCTAAATTAAATCAAGTCCTGGAGAAAAACTGAATCCACCTCCTTCAGGTCCAGGTTTCAGGACCAAACAGTTCTGATCTTTACCAGGTTCCTGCTGCTTCCACAGGACCTCAGAGGTTCAGGATCAGCTGATCCTCCTCAGGAGGTTCTGCTGCTCCGGACCCTACAGCTAACACAATGCCAAGACGGAAAGATATCAGCAATGACCTCAGAGAAACAGCAGTTGAGAGAAGTCAAAGGTCATTCAGAGTCCATCATCCTCCAGAAACTTTTTCACAGAACATTTCAGACAGCTGATTTACCCTGAAGGTCAGACAGTGCAGTGCCTCTACAGGCCTTAGTCAGAGGTCAAAGGTCATGACCTCTTCTTGCTAAAAACAACATGGCAGCATGACAGAACCAGACCAGATGTTTACCCAGAATGCACTGCAGCAAACTGCTCCTCCCAGCTGTCAGCACGGTGGTGGAGGCTGATGGTTTGGGCTCCTGTCAGTCACTGAGTGGACCAGAACTTCTCTGTAGACCAGAGTTCTGAAGAACAACAGCTGAAGTATGAACTAAACTGGGGCCAACAGAACCTGGATCCCAGACCTCGCCTGATAAAGACCCGATCATTGCTTGATGTTCCTGGAACTGCAGGAAGGTGGACCTTTTCTCCCAGGACTGGGTGAGTTCAAGGTTCAAGGTCCTTTATTGTCATTTGCATCACATGTGGTACATGAGATGGAACGAAACCAAGTACTCAAGGTCCCAGTTACACCCGACAAAAAGATATATATATAAAATGAGAGTAAATAAGGATCTAAGCTCTATGCCAAACAATAATAATGTAATATAATATAGTGTATTAAACAGCAGCCTGAACATCTGTAGTGAGCAGATGGGAACTATGAATACAGCAGTTTGAGGTCAGCAGCACAGACAAGTCAGGGGTGTCAAAGTCCAGGCCTCGAGGGCCGGAGTCCTGCAACTTTTAGATGTATCTCTGATGCAACACAGCTGAATCATATGACTGAATTAGTTTCTCAGTGCAGTCAAGTTCTCCAAAGTCTTGCTAATGACCTCCTTATTTGATTCAGCTGTGTGGCATCAGAGACGCATCTAAAAGTTGCAGGACTCCGGCCCTCGAGGCCTGGACTTTGACACCTGAGAATGAGTCTAACAGCCTCAGGGTAGAAGCTGTTCCTCAGTCTAGTGGTTCTACACTTAATGCTCCTCAACCTCCTTCCTGAGGGGAGTGGGGCAAAAAGTGTGTGTGCTGGGTGAGTG